AGGGCTGAATTCTACCAGGGCATGAGTTTATTTTTTTGTGACTATGCAAGTAAAATTATACAAAATTTATTAATAATATCTTGATTTGAAAAGTATTTTTAGTATTTAAAAATACTTATTACTGCTCTTATAGAGTTCTGGTTTTAAAACTTCCAGAGTTGCAAATCAGTGTTTTCCTAGCAAAATCTGAAGCCCAAACCTGTCAGGACTATGAAGAGATCTCAGTTCAACCTCACAGTCCAGACTAAGACAAACACATTAGCACTGTACGATAAAGTAATTTTTGTTGACAGCCCGAATCCAATTTTTTTCAGTTTCCTAACTAAGTATCAACATCAGGTATGTTACACAGCTTCACTGCTAATGTGTTTACTTTACTTTTAAAGGAGGGGAAGTGGAGCTATTATATCCCAGGTGAAAAACAAAGCCTTCAGCTTTGCTTAACCTGAACTACAACCCCATATCTTACTCCAGTATTTTCAGGTAACAATGAACAATCCATCAAAGAACAGAACCACAAACTTTCCTCTGCTACATTCGAGTACAATGAAAACAGTAAATGCCAGGTGGCCTTTTTCATTGTCTCCTGATCTGGAGCACTTGCAAACAAGAGCACCTTTCAGAAGTGAATTTATGAACTTAAGCTTTCCAACTCAGTACACACACAACAGACAGCACCCACTGGAAAGCACACTGGTTAAAATTATTACCTCTGTAAAAATAATCTGCTCAGCGTTCCATCTGCTTTGCACCAGTTTCCCTATTCCATGCACTTTTATTGCTCCACCAATTGCAATACCTTATAACCAACCTGGTTATTTCTTAAGAGGTTTTGTAGGGCAGTGACTCGTGCACTTTGTCTTTCACCTTTGAATTCAAAACCGTGGCCTGGTTTGGATCCCAACCAACCACATGTAAATTTAATGCACGTTGCTGCCTTTGCTGTGGAAACAGAGCAACCAAAATGCCATGACTGGGCCTGTAGCCCATCATTTGCATTTGGCTATCAATATATATGCAACGTTGGGATTTTTTTCAGAAAGAAAACAAGCCCCATTAATTATGAAGAGGCAGAGCAAAGACCTTCTTGCATCTCCCTGGTTCCCATACCAATCTACATGGGTTCAGTTTTTAAAAGTTTCTTTGTACTACTGTTTCACAAGTTTCTCTGTACTACTATTTACAACTACTTTGTGGGGAATTACCTGTACTTTTACATCTCAAGGATTATAATGTACATGCCCTGGTTAGGACATGTATATCATACGGACACAGCTGGTGGCAAGGTAGGACACAACTGTAGGTACACAGCTCTGGGGCTGATCAGGCTGTGGGCTGATCAGGCTGTGGGGTAGGATCAGGCTGTGGGGTGATCAGGCTGTGGGCTGATCAGGCTGTGGGGTGATCAGGCTGTGGGGTGATCAGGCTGTGAGGTTGATCAGGCTGTGAGGTTGGATCAGGCTGTGGGGTTGATCAGGCTGTGAGGTTGATCAGGCTGTGGGGCTGATCAGGCTGTGAGGTTGGATCAGGCTGTGAGGTTGGATCAGGCTGTGAGGTTGATCAGGCTGTGGGGCAGGATCAGGCTGTGAGTTTGGATCAGGATGTGAGGTTGATCAGGCTGTGAGGTTGATCAGGCTGTGGGGCAGATCAGGCTGTGGGGCAGGATCAGGCTGTGAGTTTGGATCAGGCTGTGAGGTTGATCAGGCTGTGGGACAGGATCAGGCTGTGGGGCTGATCAGGCTATGAGGTTGGATCAGGCTGTGGGGCAGGACCAGACTGCGGGGCAGCAGCCTCTCACCCCGCACACAGGAGCACTCGGCAGTACCGGCAGTGCCCCGGGCGGTGTGTTGGCTCAGCACCCACGGCCACCCTTCGCTAATCCCGGCAGGATCCCCCGGCCCCGCTTCCCCGGCCCTCCCCGTGCCCCGGCCGCCCCTGCCCTCCCCCGGCCCGGCGGGCCCGGACTCACCGCGGGCCTCGGCGGCAGCAGCAGCAGGAACAGCAGCAGCAGCACGGCCGGGCTGAGGAGGAGGAGGAGGAGGCGGCGGAGCCGCTCCATGGCTGCACGGCGGGGCCGCTCCGCCCGCACGGCGCTGCCTCCGCACCGGCGCGTCCGGCGCTCCCCCCGCGGCGGGCGGGGCGGGCGAGGGGCCCGCCCGGCCGGGGCACCACGTCACCCGCGGGCGGCCGGGCACGGGCACCGGGCTCGGCGACCGCCCGGCCCGGGAGCTGCGGGGTCCGTGAGCGGGCAGCGACGCTGCAGCCAGAGCCGCCCCGTTCGAGCGAGCCCCGGTCGAGCCGCCGCCTGCCCGGGGCTCGGGCGGCTGCCCCGTGGCAAACCGCGGGCTGCGATGGCAGCTGGTCTGCTGATGATTTGTTTTTATCAAGAAATACCGAAATTCAGGCGGCACGAATAGCCTCCCGCCCCCTGCAGCACCCTGCCCGGGACAACCGGGGGGTCAGGCACTGGAATGGGCTGCCCAGGGAGGTGGTGGAGTCACCATCCCTGGAGGTGTTCAGGAGGCGTCTGGACCTGGCACTGGGTGATATCATTTTAGTGGTTACAGCTGCTGGGTTGACAGTTGGACTTGATTATCTTAAAGGTCTCTTTGAACCTTCATAATCCAACCCTCATAATCCTATGATTCTAATTTCCCTACTCATTTCTTACTTTTGGAGCAGATCAGGCCAAAGTTATTTGGCATAGCCTCTGTCTTGACAAACTCACTGTTGACCCTGTGCTGTGCAATACCTTAAATAAATGCGAAAAAAACCCCCATCATTCCCCTTTGAACCGAAAACCTGGTCCAGGATCCTCTGAACCGATAAAAATAAACACAAAAAGTACTGAATCAAATGAAAGAAGCTGTAAAAAGAGTAAATTTAGAGTGACTGGCAAAGGCCCAGCGTTCAGCCACCTATTTATACAACAAAGCCACTCTGTCCTTGTACATAGTTTGCTTTTTAAACTGCTATCACTAATGGAGCTGCAGAGCACACAGGGTCCTGGCCATGCCATGTGCACACATCAGCTCTCCTTGACAGCGGGCAGGAGATGTAATTATCACCCAGAATCACAGAACACCCCGAGCTGGAACGGACCCACGAGGATCGAGTCCAACTCTGGGCCCTGCACAGGACACCCCAACAATCTCATCCTGTGCCTCAGAGCCTTGTCCTCCTAATGGTGACCTGACCTGCAAGCCTGAATACATAAAAACATGCTGGAGCTACAAACCACACTGTGATTCCAGTTCTCCAGTTGGTTTCTTTAGGGAGGCCTTGACTTTCAAGCATTCAGGCTGAGAACAAGCAGATCACTGAAGACACTATGTGTGCCTTAGCATCGTGCTACATCACGGGAGGAGTTTTTCAGTGTGCTGTACAAACGCTGCATGTGCCAGTTCCAGATTGGAGTTATTTAACACGAGTGTCTCCCCGCAGGAGACAGGAAAAATTACTAAAAGAGGGGCTGAAGAGGGGCAGAGAGCCGAGCGTTCCCGAGCGCCCTCGGCTCACAGCACCTCCCTCAGGAACCACCTCAGACCGGGGCCTGAGCTTTGATGTTTTTAATATCGAGCCCTATTTCCTCAAGCAACGGAGCGCTAGGGACAACTACGAAAAAGAACAGTACTACTGCTTCGGAAAAGACGAATAAAGCTGCGGCACACGCCGGAGGGCGACACCAGACCACCAAACCCCCTCACGGTACCAGATCGCCCGCCCAGAGACCCCTCAGCGCTGCCCGCCCCCAGCCCTCACGTAGCCCCGCCCACTGCCCTCACGCGGGCCCGCCCACCCCCGCGCGCAGCAGCACCCGGATCAGCACGTGCCCCCACATTGGAATCCTATTGGACAACACGCAGAAGGCGGGGCCGGCCCTCTATAAAAGGCAGCGCGGAGAAGGCTTCGGCCTTTCTTTCTCCTCAGCAGGGCAGGTGAGCGCGCTGTCGGCGTGGGGGAGGGTGAGGCCGGGATGGGCCGCGATGATGTCTCTTGACACGTGTTAGACTGCTGATATACGTGAAGCATACCTACTGCTGAGCGCCCCGGCCGCGCCAGCCCCGCGGGGCGGCCGGGGTGAGGCGCGTGTGTAACCTGCCCTTTTCCCTCCGTGTCTTGCAGGGCCCGTGCGGAGTGTCCGGATCGGCGGTAAATAAAAGCTGTGTTGCCCCAAATCGCGTCCGCCTGGTTCTTCCCGCGCCGTCCCGCACTGCCTTTGACCCGGCGGTGCCCGCTCGGCGCCGCCGGCCAAGCAGCGGTGCTACAGCGAAGGCTTGTTCATAACTGGGGCCGCTCGGCATCTCCCGGGCGGCGCTTTTAAAAACAAGTGACATTTGTGTGCCAGAGCCGCCCTGTGCCATCCCTGCGGGACACGCGGCTGGGGGGGATGTACAAACCCTGCTGTCCCTGGGGATGGGATGGCACAGAGCCCGTTCCCTGCAGAGAGGGCGGTGCCAGCCACAGCAGATCCGGGTCGTTCTGTCGCGGGTCAGGGCGACTTTAACCCAAAATAGCCCGGGGCAGGAATTTTTTCCTGCAGTAGTTCAGGTTTCAGCTGTAAAAGGGACTTGGAAAAAGTAACCCAAGTCCTGGGATTCCTGCCAAGCTGCTGCAGGAGTAAAGCAGCTGGATGAATGTGCAGGAGGAACACATGCAGGGCTTGGGGTCCTTTATGCACACAGAAAAAAAGCAACTTGGAAATAAAATGGGAATTTGACTCCTGCAGCTGTTTAAAGGGCCTCTGTTTTTTCCATCTGTTAACAGTGGTGCTAAGGGTGTCCTGCAGACAGAGAGGAGAGAGACACAGTGTTTCTGTAAATATAAAATGACAAGCATTCTGATGCCACGTTTGGACACAAAAGAGTAGCAGCAGAGTCCAGGCAGACTGTAAAAGTCTGCAAACACATGGCACACTCAAACTGCCTTCCTAATGAAGTTTTTGGAACAACTTGCACAAGATCATGGCTAAGTGCTGTAGAAATAAAATTTAACTGAACTGTTGGACATGGGATAAATTTATTTAATAAAACAAAGCAAGCAGATTGTAGTTACCCACAGTTTATGAAGTGCAATATGACAATTTTGTGTAATAACTCTAAATTTGTTTACACATTAGTGCACCTAGTCCTTTGACTTCAGTTATTGCACATAGAAATTAACTCATAGAAAAGACCTGCGTACAAGACATGCAGACTTCATGGAAGGCAAATAATGCCTACAGAATCAGCAAACCCCAGAATATACACAGCCTGGAATGGTCAAGGAGGAGTTCAGGTAACAAATATAACCTACTAATATTTCAATTAAAGGTAACCAAAATAGGTGTTCAAATATAGAATTAATTTTAAATATATTAAATGCTAGTTTTCTTTTTTTTTTTTGTTTCAGGCAAGGTGCTGTTTAAAAAACCTTCAATAGAATAGCTTCATTTAGAGATGGTAAATCATCAAGTTATACATGGAAATTTTGATTTACATCAAAGGTGACAACACAATGTACAAAAAAGTTCTTTAAAAATTCTAAAAAAAAAGAAAAAAAAGAGAAAAAGCAAATCATGTTATAAAAGGAGAGCCAAAACTCACCTTCTTTGTAAACTAAAAAACGTTTTCTGACATCCATGAACAGTTGGCAACGCTGAGCATCAGAAAAATATTCCATGTGTTAAAGAGTGGATATGTAGTGTTCCAATCTTGCATTTACTGCATACATTTAGCCTTGAATCATGACACCTGACAGAAATAAAAGGCAGTTCCCCCTTCCCCCTTAGTTTTGGCCATTAATGAGCAGGAAGAGTCTTCAATCATGATCGGCTCGAACAACTGCAACGCTTGAATTCCTAAAAAACCAACGCACGGGGTGGGGGGTCAAAATCTGTCAGCCACAGCTGCTCCCACGGGAGTTGATGCCTGGGGCTGTGACAGGAGGATTTGGGCCCGTGCTTTGGGTGTAAACACAGTGCAGTGGGAAAGAACAGCAACAAACTCCGCAGAAGGAACTGGGTGTTTCGCCGTAGCAAGAGGCTCGAAGCACAGTAAGGTAACTACTCCTGCTCGTGTGCAGTGTTGGCATTTTGTGTGTGTGTGCTCATGTCTTGAGAAACATTCAGAATTAAGCAGGAACCAAGGTGATTGTACCTCACTATAAGGCGGCTTGCTATGGTTTGGTCTCATGGCTTTACCAACTTTTTTTCCTCCTCGTTTTACAAAAAAAAATCTGACAGTCCCACCTTTCACTGATAGTTGTGTTTTATGGCTACTTGCTTCCCAAAAAAAAAAAAAAAAAAAAAAAGCACAAGTTCTGTATGAAAAAAGTAATATGTATATACCACATTGAATCACAATATTACCTATACATCCAATTTACATTCTTTTATCCTGAAAGCGTTTCATATTTCGATTGCTTGACACAAGCTATTGACTGCAGAAGTGAAAGAACATAAAATAGTTCATTCTACACCTCCAACTGCCTGAGAAAGAAAAATATTCTTCCAGTTTTATAAATTCCTTCCTTATTTAGGATTTTTTCCCCCCATTTGGCACGCAGTTCCTTTGCTGCCAAACAACTTCTCAATGCTTTAATGCACATTAACAGAGCACGAAAACATAAGCTGAACAAAAGGTGCCTCAACGAGCTCCTTGATCTATTATATTTCAGTTCCTCCTCCCTCCCCCAAAGGATAGGTCATTGCAGCCTCCCAGTTCAAAATCCTGATGGCAGCCAGTACAAAAATAAATCAACAGCTTAATGGAATGGAACTTCATGGAGCTGAAGTACACGGGAACAATAACCAGGCAAGTGAGCACAAAGGTATGGGCACAGTCCTGGGGAGGGGGGGAAAGTGGCACGAGTTAAGGATGAGAACTACAGCACAGTTTATAAAACCATGAGAATAACTTTTATAATACTGTAAACTGCAAGAGTCTTCACATGTCATGGTTGATCAGAGGCCTCCGCGCTCAGATCTTGAGGGCACGTGGACGAGCGGGGATCCATGGCTGAGTGCATTAAAGGAATATAAACATCATCCATGTTTGGCATGACGAAGATTTTCTGGGAGAGAGACACAATTAAATCAGGTTACTCTTCATATGTCACTGGAAACCTTAGTTTTGCAATTTGTTTAGTTAAAAAAATGCCACAAATTTCCAGACAAAAGATTCTCGAGTTCAGCGTTCAGACAGTGCAGTGCCCATTAATTCAGGCCATTTCGTTGTGTTACACTTGTAAATGAAGGTCAGAAATATCTGTATCTTTGCAAATTCCATTAAATTAAAAGGGTTCTACAGAAAAAATCACCACCTTTCCCCGCTCTGTTGCTTTCTCAGCTCTTACCCATGTACTTTTACACTGCACTTTTAATGAAATAAGTGGGTTTGATTGTACAGGTTTGGGTCCAGAATCAATCTGGTCAGTCTTCCCATCCTACATGTCTTTGGAGGTTTTTTCCCATTTTACACTACAGTCAAAGTGATTTTTAAAAATCATTTTCAAGGAAGTAGTGACAGGACACCTTAGTACCTCTCTTAGTATCTGTGTTTGGGTTTTTCAGTTTTAAAACCAGTTGGGTGCTCTTCTCATCTAAGAACAGGAGCAGTGGAGGACACCAACTAACTTCAAATCAAACAGTTCAAAACTACCACCACTGAAAGGAAGATGTAAAGGAAGCACACCTGGAACTCCTGCTCCAGTTTCCTGGCTATCCAGTCTGTCACATGAACCAGAGTCACTTCTCTCTCCCCGAGTTTTGGCCGTGCTTTTAACTCCAGGTAGGGAGGCCTTCGGAAGCCGTACCTTGGGAGAGCACAGAGCAGCTTTTGTTACAGACACTCCAACAAAGCAAACCCTTCAATGTGTAGCTCAATTTCCTCTTGACAGCAGTTCCTACCTCATTTACCACTAGTCTGTTCTCTTCCAGAACTCACTTTAGCCAGACTTTACCTTTTTTTTCCTCATCTCTATCTTTTCAATAGCACAACCTGCAGCTAAGTTCCTCTTACCATATTCTGTCAGTGGGTGGAGGTGGAATGTTAATCACTAGTGTTCCTCTGCACTCCTGCACTTCAACTGTTAGCAGCAATGGAGTATTGGAGACCTCTTCAATTTTCTTCTTAATAAACTCAGTCTCTGTTGCTTTCTGAAAGTATTTTGACTTGGTGATTTTATCCACAATTCTCATCAGTTTACTTGTCCGAGATCCTCCCACGTACCTTTAGATAGAGATTAGAAAAAAAGGACAGTAAGGTAATTTTCTCAAACTACTAAGACAGCCATGGATTTTCTAAGAAACCATTAAACTTTGGTATTAAAATTCCAAAGAGATGCATGGCCAAGCAGCACCTACCAGAGCCTGCAGCCAGTAGCTGTGCTCTGTCAGCTACAAGTGTCTGGCAGGAATTCCCTTCAGGCTGAACAACTCCTTCCCACATGGCATTGGAAACACAACACTCTTTCAAACTGCAAATACACTGCCATCACTTATGCCAGCAAGCTGGCATGGGAAATGACACCTTGTCTACTGCCATTCCAACAGAACTGTCGGGACACTGATGCAGCAAGACAGGCACAAATCAGCAGCTTAGAAGGCCCAGCCATCATGTCTAATTATTTAACAGCGTGTGCTGAACAGAAAGGTTTTCATTTTAAGGTACTTCAGGAGTATAAAGGTGTTGATAAAGAAGTGCAAAGCACTTTTAGCAGTGGGTGGAATGATATTCTAAAAATGGTTAACCATGCCTGCAAGAAGAGGGCTTTTCCTGGCAAACGTGTCAGGCATTGCTGGCTTCTAAAACAGATTCTTTAAGGGCTGAATCTGTCTTTTCTCACCCCTATCTCATGTTGGAAATATACCCTCCAAGAATAGCATATTTGGTATTTTCCACACACTATATCATAGCTAATTATGGCTCTTGATGTTATGTACCAGAGATGACCTTCCTAAGGAAATGACATTTTCCTATTGAGGTTGGGGGGGAACCAGAAAAACCCACATTCTTATACAGACTTTTACAGAGTTTTCTCCTTAGCACAACATAAGGCAAGAAACTCCTCAGCTGATATAAAAAGGCTGAATTAATTACAACTCTTGGATTTTATACTTAGCTGTATTTTTACCCAGAGAAAGTAGTTACTCTCTCATCAGCTCATCAGATTCTATAGTGGTAGTAATGCAGATTCTTTCTTTCAGTATTCTACATAAAAATTCTTTATTCTCTTTGTCCTCTTGATAAAGAACTCTCTATATGATCTATGAATTTTTAGAAGATATGAAATGCATCAAATGCAGTAATTCCAACAACTCTTCACACAGTTTTCAAAAGTGTACAGGAACAAAACTGAGGGAACTCCCTGGAACATTTTGAATAAGTCATGAGTCTTCTGGTACATTTCACTGTAAAAATCAGGGATGTGTTCAGTCACAGAAAACACTGGGATTGTCTCGGACATTTCTGGCTGACTACAGCTTTCTCACTGCATGGCACAAGTGCAATCAGATGCAGAAAGCCAAAAATCAGAAGAGCAGCCAAAACAAGGAATGACGTGGCAACGCTGCTGTTGGGAAATCTCCTCTGAAACTCAGCATGAGAGGGCAGCATTGCACAGCCCAGACACTCAGAGATCTCCAGAAATAATAATTAAAAAAAAAAAAAACCACAAGAAAAAAAGCCAGCAACACAAAACTGAGAAGAAAGCGAGGCTTGAGGAACAGTTGTTTCCTTTAAGAGAAGAACACCCTGGAAATCTGGAGCAGCAGGAGCAGCACAGCACTCAGCACAGCAGCTCCCTTGGCTGCCAGCACTGGCTCCACTGCTGCTCTTGGCTCTGCAGTTGTGTTTGCTCCACTGTCAGGACACTGTGACACTCTGGGGGACACAGAGCACCCAGCACTGAGCAAGGCACGGGCTGCTGGGGAGGGAAGGATTAACCAGCTCACCCTTCTGCTCCTGGAGTCACCTGCTTCTCTCCTGCCAGCTCAGGAGCATCATCTTCCTCCGAAGAGCCGGCGCTGGAGGATTCCTCATCGCTGTCTGCAAGACAATACGCCCTTGGCCTGAAACTGAAACAATTCCCAGGTCAAATGGAATATCCTGAAATAGCTTCTCATCCTGTGCAGCTTTGGCTGACATTACACCACTCTGAACTATGCCCTCCTCTTTTTTTATAAGCACCATCTGAAAGAACAAACCCAACACCGCTCTGAAGCCAGGCTGGCAGAACTACCTTCAAACCAGAAAATCTGTTTTCCCCTGTGGAACATAATCCTGCAGGAAAGAGGTTGGCAGGGGGGCGGCTGTTTTACATATTCAAATCAAAAGTGGAGATTATTCCAAATACATTTGAAAGCATCTCTGCTGCTGCTCGTGGCTTTCCATGGGTTGAGCAGAACGGAGGCTGGACAGGTAAAACAACCTTTGAATGTCATGTAAAGTAATAAAATCAAACAAGGGCAGGTCTCAGGGTACAAAATACCACCTGGTAGTAACTAATTCCTGGCCTTAAACCTGTGGAAGAATTTAGGCACAATCACAGGAAAAATTTCAAATCTTTTAAACGGATTAAAAAGAGGGAAGGATGGAGTGGACACACTTCAGTATGAACAGATCTCTACTGAAAGCAAGAGCCTGAAACAGTTACACAACACAAGCTTCAAAAGCATATGGCTTTAGCCCTGGGGACTGTACCCAGCACTGGAATTCTCTACAGCATGTTCAGAACACAGTTCAGAGCTGTGTCTTCTTCCTTTGTGTGCCTGGGTGTTCCTGGAAGTGTATCTGAAGCATTTAATAACCTCACACAGGGCATGGACTGAGGCTGCTGCCTGATACTCTGTGCACAGAACCAACGGGGTGGCTGCTGCACGAAGTCCTAATGAGAAAGGACAGCTCCAGTGCAGCTCCCAGAGCACAGGACTCCTTCCCAACCCGAGCAGTGACCCCAGGACCTCTCCACACTGCAGAATTTCCCAGCCAGGGTACGGAATCAGAACTGCAAAGCTCTCCTCACCCAGAGCTGCATTCTGTACCTGCACACAGTGCAGGCACACACCAAACTGAGCCACCTCCCCGAGGACAGGGGGGTGTGGATGGCTCCTGTCACTGGCCCAAATAGCAACCCTGGAGCTGCTTCTCAGGGAGAAAATCCCATTTTTAGGTCAGACTCAAACTCCACATTTTCTAGGAGGGCGTGACCTCCCTTCACTTTCCCGTGCAGGTTGTACCACCCAGCTCAAAGCATGCCCAGAGCATTCCCAGGGCTCTCAAAGGTGTCACCTTAAAAAGAGGTGTTTTATTTCCCAGTTAAAGGTGCCTCACAAGCCCCGACCGGCTCAGACCTCAGGATTTCCTCGCATTAAACAAAGCAGCAATAAATAAGCTTGAGTGAGATTTCAGGGGCTCTCTGCATACAATGGACCATTTATATGACACAAACACTGGCAGAATAAACCCACTTTGGAGCTACAGTATTGTTGCTGTGCAGATTGCACAATATTTTATGAATTGCCATTTGTCAGCTTGTTTTTATGGGGTCCAACACAGCCAGAAGGACTGATGGGGTGAGAAGCCGTGGTAAATTTGCGTTAACCTACCTGAGTTTGCCTCATCTCCTGTATGGCAGAACCTGTGCTGGAGTAATTTTATAAAACTGGCAATTAAATAGTTTTCCACCCTCTCTGAGAGCTCTATTTTCTTGAGAGGGCATTATCAAACTTATCTCAGCCCATCTCACTTCTGTTTCAAACAGTAAGTGCAACACTGGCCCGTTTGTCTCCCTTTACACTGACAACATCATCCACAGACAGTGAAACATCAGAGCTGTCACCCCCTCCCTCTCTCTGGAGCCTCTCCTACACCAGTTTGTGGTTACTGCCTCTCAGGAGATGGTTTGTTCTGGGCTCTCGAGGGACACAAATGAGTGTCACCAACCAACATTCCTCACTTACAGCACAATCACAGATGCAAACACTTGCAGAGCAGTTCGTCACAGCAACTGCCGACTGACGATTAAAAAAGGCAGTAAAATGAAAATCAGCCAACACAGTGGAAAGCACAGATGAGAATCAAATCTTCTGTGCTTCTCAGTCTTTGCTTATTTATTTACAATATCCATTGTATTGAAGGGGAAAAAAGAACCCCAAAAACCCCTCACTTTAAACCAGAATACACCAGGCTGCTCTTTATGTAAAGCTGGCCCCGAGGTTTGAAACACCCCAGCCCCGTGCAGGGAGCAGAGCAGTTAATGCTGATACCTCCAAGCAATCAGTTGCTTGGCTACAGGCACTTGCATCTGCCTTGCTGGGGGCCCATTGCTCAGCCAGCAGCAAACTGGTTTTTAAATATGAAATCAATGCGTTCACTAATTATTTCTGAGGCCATTTCTGCACTGAGCAGATATGGAAATACACAAAGAAAATCCTGAAGGGATGGGGGAAGGAAAGCAAGAATTTGATTTGTATAGACATTTCCTTCTCCATCCCCCATTTTTGGGAGGGGGGTGGCAGGGTGGATTAAAAGGATTTTGAAAAATGTGCACCTACCAGTTCTACTGATGTAAATTCAGAAATATTTATGTCAAGCAGTGACAATGAGAATCTGGGTCGATTTTAAACCCTCTGAATTTCTACCACCAGTGTATGAGATCATTCAGCCTTTAGGTTTTTTTTCACATTTATTTTCTTGTCATGACTGCACTGAAATATAGGGCTGCTGGAAGTCTTGCTTCGAGATATCTCAGAATAAATGGTCAGAGCTCTGACAAGAGTACACAAAGCATCCAGTATCCTCATTGTGATGGACCACAACATTTTATTCATAGCTAAACAAATGGCCAGATTTAGAGACTATTTTCTTGATTTGTGTCCACCAAATCAGAGACCACCTCCTGTCCAGGGGCTGCAGATGTCTTAAGCACAAAGAGAACACAGCACAGAAAGGATGAACACTCCACAGCTGATGGGATGGATGCTTGACAGGTGTCACTCACCAGGTAAATACAAATGGACAGATTGATGACGCTCCAAAATCCCAACAGCATCACAAAAATGAGAGGGGAGGCACAACTACAGGAGAGGTAAGTCACTGTATAGTGTTCCTTAATTAGTTTACCTACAGGAGGCATTTCACTTAGACATAGCAGGGAAACAGGAGTGGGCTAGGAGGAAAAACAGAGACTAAAGCAGGGGTGTGATTACTCCCATGGTGCACTAAAGCTATTGAAAATGTCTCTACATTACATTTACAGCCTATTTACCTTCCCCATTGTTTTCTCCTCCGTGGTTTACAGCTGTAGCTGTGCCATGCTGTCACCAGGCCTGTTACCTCCCTCTGTGCATGTGTGCATCTCCAGTACTGAAGCTTTACTAAGACCCCAAATCAAGCCTAAGGCAAAGCTACATTTTAGTTGCTGCACGTTTTAAAATCCTACTAAAATACACAACAAAATAACTGCATCACAAAAGCCTTTCATCAACATGATCATCAACAGGGCAATCAAAGCTGTGCAGAAAGGCCACGTTCTACGCTCACGTGATGAAACCCCCCACTCCTTTCATTCCCTGCAGAGCCACAGCTGCTCATCCACAAGGAAAATCCCACTTTTTCCCCGTGCAAGCTCCAGCTGGATTCCAGCACTGCCATCCCTTACCCTTCTCTGCCGATCTCGCCAACTTTAAGCGCTTCACCAAGAGGCTCTTTACCCAGTTTGGTCAAGTTCATCTTGGTCTCCAGGGTCATCAGAAAAGATCCATTGTAGGACATTTCCAAATCAACCCACAGTCCTAAAAGAAACAAAGCTGTCACTTTAAGAACCATCACAAAGCAAGCTTTCTGTTCATATTAAACTCATGGAACAAAGTCAGATGTAAATCAAAAGGAGCGTGATTTACACCCACCTAAACCGCTTAAGAGAGCTGAAGTGAGATAAAGAACACAGAATACAATCAGGGATTCGCTTCAAAACTATTTACAGCACTGCTCCAAGCCAGACAGTAATGGGGACACTCCTCTAGTGACGCTGTCCAAACAAAGCACAAGTTGAAATCCCAGAGCAATATTGCTTGTGTCACATCACAACCTGCTGCCTCTTGCTTTGCCAGTGGTGGATTGAAGGAGTATGACAAGGTTCCCCCAGTAACTGAGCTCCAGGCATTCTTTATGACTCCCAGCAAGCAGGGTCATTCCTTTGACAACTCTAGACATGGGGTATTGCATGAAATCTAGTGTGGTGCAGAATATTCACCAAAAGAATTCTCTTGGGAATAGCTGCAGGATTAGGTCCTGCCTCTTGAGTGACCCCTTGCAGCCCCATGGACTAAACAAAGCTGCAGGTATTTGGGGTTCAGATATTAGAAACCAGATGCCAATAAACACAGATTATGCATCTTCCTTTTCCAGACACTGCAGCTGCACAAAACCAGTACCTGGCACATCATCCACTGACACATTCTACTTTTATTCACTTATTCAGAAGCAATTCATGGTAATTACTCTTTGGGTTTGAGTCATCTGTAAAAGTCACATTTTAAGAGTTCAAGAACTACTGTTTCCTGCAAAAACATGTCAGAAAACCAGCACTGTCCTTAATCCCACCGTGTCTGTTCACAGAAACACAGGCAGCTCCCAAAGGCCAGGTCACTGATTCCCTGTGAGGTTCCCTGCTGGAAGCAGGAATGAAGACAAGCTGGTGCTTTATCCACCCAAATCCCTCTTTTCCCTCTCACACTGCTCCTAACACTGCTCTAAAACCAAACACAACAAAGCTTATATATATTTTTCCTCTTCACAAGGAAAAAGCAGCAGTAAGACAGACTTTTTTTTTTTAACAGACTTTCTGGATTATCAATGAGCCAGCACAACTCAATCATCAGTGCTGTTTTAACAGCAGATCAAATTAAGCAAAGGATGCCATTACTGAGAGGGAAAACTCCTTCTGGCCAGAAAACATTCATCCACATTTTCCAGAGGGAAAAGGGGAGGGAGAGGGAGTGAAGAATTGGGCAGATGGTACAATTTATTCTGAATTTTCTGGTTCCCTAGCCTTGAGAGAATTACAGGAAATGCTACAGCATATGCTGTCACCCAAATAGGACTGTTTTAACACAAACAAGATTTTTTTTCTAACACTGCCTGTTAACAAATTGAGTTACTTAGAGAAGCCATATAATAAAAAAAAATATTTTCCTTGTAATCAAGCACTGGTTAAAAACAACTCTGGATGAAACAAAGCCCTTCATTGCATTGTAAAGCCTCACAAAAGGCTCAAATGGCTCAAAACCACCTCAAATGACTGTCTCAAACACTTAAAAAAAACCCCAAAACCTTAGAAATGTTCATTCTAGATACTGCCCTGAAATTTTAGGGTTTTTCCCTCATATTCCCCAATAAACCAAGTGGTTTTTTCATAAGTCAACTTACCAAATACATTTATCCTTACGAAAACAAGCATTTCCAATTACCATACCCTTATTTATGTCCTTTTAAGTGTAATTACACAACAAGTTATTTCAGTAATTATTCACTGCAAGCTCTTACAAACTAAAGAGTTCACGTGGCACCCAAAAGTGGGAAAGAAGTTACAAGGATTAGCAATTCTCCCATAAATGTTTCCTTGTCACAGTTTTAAGCGAACAAGCAACTGAATTTATCGAAGCCAAGTTTCCTAAATCCCATCCCATGACTTGGAATTCCAGCCTTGGCTTCCAACTGAAGTTATGAGAACAGAGAAAGGAATTCCAAAAACGCTTCAATCCAAGGCAAAGGGCAACGCTCTGACCAGAGCCCTGAAATGAATGCTTGTTTAAAAACAAACCCTGAACCCACTTGGCAAGCATCACAAGTGTAACAAGTTTAAAACATTGGGGTTTGTTTTTTTTTTGTTCTGTAATACAAAATAAAATTTGTCCCAACAGTGAAGTCACTTTGCTGCTGGGAACACGGGAGGATTTCATCAGAGAACCTGCTGTCCCACGCAGGGAAGCACATGACAAGCAGCAGCATATGTGTTAGTTCCCTAAATACTGACTGCACTCTCCAGCTCATTCCATCTATTCAGTTTTCATTTCTCTTAAAAGGAAAAAGACAGATTTTCTGCCTCGTGACAACCAAACACTTTGCTCTTCCTCACACGTGCTTTGTTTAGAAAGCCCAGTGGCCAAACACACTTCCCAGGTGGGTCTGTCCCAGACAAGGCTTTTCCCCAAAGTCTCAGGGAGATAAGGGCAAACAATAGCATTTGGAGACATAACTGATGTCATGTGTGGCCAAGAGGGTTTCAGTGAACTCCCCAAAGTCTGGTTTGTTCTCAGTTTTAGGAGGGAAAGGTTGTTGCTCACACACCTCGTGCCTTCAGGCAGTGCTGTGAGTGGCACAGAGCTCATTATCCATTCAAACTTTGCTCTGTCCATGGTTGTTGTTGGTCCAAATATGCTACTGAGACTTGGAGTCTGGCTCATTGCTGGCCTGTAATTTAGAGCCTCTCCAGAGGGTTTTAACACTTGTACCAAGTATCTTAAATTCATTAAATTCTTACCATCTCACTACCAATTTATTGGTTTTAGCCCCAGCTAGAAATTATCTTGGTAACTTCACCAAAGAGCTGAAAGAGCAGTTTAAACCAAAAATCAGCTGCTTGCCATGCCATCCACAGCTGCACCACAACAGGTACTCCAAGGAGGTATTTCCCTTTATGCCAATGAGAAATCTCTCCACCTTGAGTGGAAAAACTCAGACACACTTTAAAATTAAAAACTGCTCTGATTCTGTCTTAGAAAAAGAGAGAGCATCTAGCTCTCGTCAGCATGTGGAATAAATACTTTGGAAGCTAAAAAGCATTTTCCCAAGTTTTTCTTTCTTGTGAGATTACTTAAATGACATGAGTATCCTCAAATATACTCCTGTGACCATATGCAAGCCAGAAAGAACAGAAAACAAACAGTTCTGATTCACAAAGCAGCAATATGAGAGTGATTCAGCTCATAAAAAAATCCATATTTAATAGTAAGGACATAAAATGATGCTGTATTTTGAAGTTTGTTTTCAAAGCAACACTGTATTCTTGTTTTCTGAGTTAGTACAATTATATTTTCTGAATCTCCTGTTCTCAGAACAGGGGAGCCAAACCTGTTTTGTGCAATGGTACAGAATCAGATCTGTCTCAAGGAGAGGTGCAATGCTCTCTGCAGCCAGAGATGTGTCAGCACCTCTGTTGCATGCAAGTTTTAGTTTAGTTCAGTCATTATTGCCTCTGGAAAGACAAGATCACCCTTCCACAGCTCCAGAATTACTTCAGACCAAGCCTGACATGGAGACCCCTCAGCATCTCCTCAGCACAAGCTCTTATTAAATGTATCTTCCTCTGAGTAAAACATCCACAAATAAACCAGATGAAAATCCTGTTCTCCACTGCTAAAAAGGCAGGAGGAACCAGACAAGGGAGCTTGTGTTTTACCTCTGTGATCAATAGAAGGTTTGAAGGCCTGAAGGATCTTGGGCACTGCTATCCCCATGTCCAGCTCAGTCAGAGTCAGCTCGTTCATGAAGTAGGGCAGCTGGGAGGACAGGAGATAGAAAGTCAAACACATGTTATGGAACTAAACATTCATTTCCTGAGAGAGGAGAGGAAAGGGAAACTTAAGGAATGGGCTGAGCTGAAGTGCCACCAGTGGAAGAACAGAATGCAAGGGGAAGGCACAGGAGTCACTCAAAAGCCCCTTTTGAGCTCGTGCAGCTGGTGGAAGCTGCATCCTGGCACTGCACACACAGCTCCTCCCATGGCCATTTACTGCCACTGACCTGTCCTGCAAGCAGTGCATGTCTGAGGTACACAGGAACACACTGGAATTGTGGTTCCCTTATCTCCTCCACCCTAAAAGCAATCTCTTATTTCCCAAAACAGCTTTCATCCTTTATAAGCAGTTCTATTTATCCCTGAAGTACACACAACAATAATTCTACTTTTCACATAAAAACCTGACAGACAGAAAAAGTTCATCCAGCTGTAGCTCATTTCAAAGTGAAGCAGCCAAGTTAACATGTTGAGATCCACGTGAAACTAAACTGGAATTCTCTATCACATTTATTTACTTGTCTTTTACAAGTGTGAAATAAATACCTTCTCATACTGTTTTAAAACTCTAAGACTGTGTTTCATTTCTTTCACAAGGAGTGTGTAGGGCAAATCTCCAGATCAGGTACCTTTATTTTGCTTAATTTCATCTGGATCTTCTTTGACACTAGATCAGACCAATACTTTTCTCCTAAAAAATCCCAAAATATTCTTCCAAGCAGAGCATTCACCCAGGCCTCCTGCTCTTCCTCTTCAGCTTCCTCATGGGCATCTGGCAACTGGAAAACACAGAGCAGGTCATTCAGCCCAATAAATTCTATAAACTGAGAAGTTTATTAACAAAGTCTATAAACAGAAAAGGCCTGTTTTACACTGGAAGTTCAGTGTTGGAGTCCAGGTCAGCTCAGAACTCAAATGCTCAGCAGAGAGAGCAGCTTTACAAACACATCAGCTGTGCTGCCACGAGCCCGTCATCATCCTGACATGCAGCAGAGGGAACAAGAGCACGCAGATACAGATTGACCTCTGGCAATATGAAATGAGAAAGCTGCATGTCATTTAACCCCTGGCAGTAAAAGAAGATAAACCCAGAGCGGGCAGACTTAGAAATGTGTCTGCAGCAGAGACACTCTCTCTTCCCAGTCACATCTCTACCCTTCCTTTGATTTAACAAAACATTGGAAAGCAAGACCCCATCTTACATCCTTAAATCCAGCTCAGAAACTTCACAAACAGATGATAAACAAACACAGTACAGGCAAACACACTCTTCCTTTCAATGTTTGTAAACAGGATTCAGGAAACTATTGTTCCCTCTGCTGCATTAAAGGTTTTGTTTACAATCCGAGAGGATTATGTCTTGCTTTGCTTGAGAAGCATCTCGAAACACCTGGAAATATTAAACATTCAGATGCTGCATCACTGCCCACACACAGAGAGGCAAAGGCAGCTGAAATCAAAGGCAGCTGAAATAACTTTGGGGGTGTGCACACACTGCCAGGTATTTCATTAAAACCAGGAGGTTTCCACGAAGGAAACACCAACACATTAAACGTCTCTCAAGCGCCTGCAACGACAGAAGAATTCACCACCCTTCATTATTCCAGGCAGAGCTCCCAAAGCCAGCAGAAAAGCAGTGCTTTCTAAGACAGGCAGGTAGATGGTACAGTTCTGACCATCATTTCTTGGCAGTGCCTGCTCCCCAGGGCTGCAGCCTCCCGCTGCCAGAGCTGCTGGCTGAGGAGGTGCTGCTGTGACGCAGCTTTTCCTGCCAGCCCCGCTCATCTATTTATAGAAGGATTCCTGCCACGTGCCACATCCAGCAGAGAATTCCTCACTGCTTCAGGGGCTGTGGGGGGCTGGAATATCTGCTGTCCTGGGGGACACAGGTTGTGTTTGTTTGTATGCTATTATGTCACTGCTTCCTCTCTGGACATTGTGTGAAAGTCTGGAAACAAAGATGCACGGCAGGAATTACAGTTTTAAATGAATGGTGATAGGACTAAAACATTAAGGGCCCATTTATTAAGAGTGCTGTACTGAACATTAAGGTTCTGTTTACTGAGAGTGATTCAGCTGCAGTCCAGGAGGCCAAGGGATCAGCAGGAGCTACAGACACCCCCACTGGTGCATCCTCTGGAGGACAAGCATTACCTTTTTCCCAGCTGTAGGGCTGCTGTCTGCACTCAGCACTGGGCTACCTGAAGGGCTTTTCTTTTCCTGTGGAACACACTTTGCCATATAAACGCTGTAGTCCAGGAGCATCTTCTGCCTCGCGTTGCCAGCCAGGTCCTTGTGCTTGGGCTGGGCTGCGATCTCCTCTGCGTTCCCCTTGCTGCTGCTCCGGCTGTGCGTGAGAGCTGCGGGCTGAGCGTCGGCTCTGCCGTGCCCGGCCAGGATCCCTGAATGCAAAGGAATAACAGCCACTGAACAGAGAATGAAGCTGACAGCCACGCAGCAGAGTGCAGGAGCAAACACTAAAGGAACTAAGTTACTCTGCAGATATCATTTATTCTGAACCAACCAACCAACCAAACGACATTCAGAGTAGCGCTTTCTCATTTTGAAGGCTCAAAGTAAATCCCACTCCTGTGGGGAGTCCTAAACCCAATCCCTGGTATGATTCAGCACCCAGCAGGATGGGGGACTGGGGGAGTCAGCTGATCAATAGCATATTTAAATATGGACACTCACATATGTACAACCCATGGCAGAATTCCCAACAGCCCTGCTGGGAACGCCTAAAATAAAAGTCAGGTGATTCAAATGTACCTATGACTAAACTTTCTTTTTTGCCTAATCTAATTATAGGCTGTTACAATTAAAAGTACTATCAAAAGCATGTAGCTATAAGGATTTTAATTAGCCCTTAATTTTGCACTTGCATTTCAAGATGTTATATGCCAGAAATAATGATGCTAACTAATTTTTAAAAAGCTTCTCAGAGAAGAAAGACAGAAAAGTATGAGTCATTCAGGTTTAAAATTATATTAGAGAATGGTTTTAAATTACTTTTTCAAACATTTGATCAATACTATAGACTAAGATGTTTGGTGGTTTGGATATGGATGTATTCAGATAGATAGATACATTAGTGCAGGACTTCATAAACAGAAAAATGTGTTTTCTTGGGACACTAATCCATGAAAAAGCTCTTTATCATTTTCAGATTAGAGTGGAAGCAAGGATGGAGGAGGAAAGATGGGTAATAGGAGATGAGTCTAATACTGCAAATGTTGATGAGAAAAAAAAGCAGTTTGAACAATTCATCCTTACAAATATTGCAGGAGTTATTACAGCCACTGAAAAATAGTGCATTCATATAAAATAGTTTAAAAATAGTACCAGTTGAAGGCACACAGCCAAGTACACAGCCAGGAGAAGAAAAGGCAGGGCGGGAAGGTGGGAATGAGAGGCCAAGACAAGGAGCAGAGGAGTGTCCTGGGTACTACCTGCCTGTAAAGATCACTGTGGTTCACCCAAACAGAACTGTGGGATGTTTCTTTTAACAGACAGATACACTAGAACCCAAAATGTGAGTACCTGACTTGCTCCCAGACAGACTCGATGGCTTCTTGGCCTCAGCCCTCAGCCTGGAGGCGAGGAGGAACCTCTGGAACCACTCCTCCTTCTCCCTGCCTGTCCTCCCAAAGAGGTAAAGCACTTGATCCTTTTGGCTACTGCACTTTGCCCCCTCCTGAGGCTTCTTGGATTCTTCGCTGTTTGAGTCCACTTTTTCAGCAGATGACTTTTCCTCTGCGTTCTCCTTCTCAGCCTGGGCCTTGGCCATGAAATCCTCCTGTTTAGCGAGCTCAATGCAAATTGGGTATTTCTTATTCCAGATTCGTTTCCGTGCCAGACTCTTGGGAACCAGGGAAATCTGAAGGATAAATGCAAAGGTTAAAATTAACTTTTTTTTTTTTTTTTCAGTTGTATCCTCTATGTTTCTACACTCACACAGGAATGCAAGAGATACAGATCCCACACTGGATCTGCTGGGTTTAACTGACTCAGCATTGCTATCACCGGGTCTTTGGTGAGCCAAGGCCGTGGAATTAAAACAAAGGCCATCTGAGCATCTTATACAGTCGTGTGGATTAGAAATTCTTGTTTTCATTGAGAAGATCTTATTTTTATAGATACAGGGAAAAAATAGAAAAACCAAGAACCTTGTTTCTGTGACCACAGGGTATGTAATGACAGTCTAAACTGTGTTTTAAACTCAACTTTTCAGGCCCATCTCAGGAAACTGAGCTTTAGAAGTCCTTTCCCATATGGACTCAAGGGAATGGAGGGAAGTTTTCCTCACTGTCACTGTGGTCCCTCTGTCCCTTTCACTTCCACACTCAACTGAAGCCTGGTTTCCTCCCCCATCTGCACTGCCAAGGCCCTCGACTGATGCAGCACATTAAAAAAATCCATTCTGTTAATAATGAGCTATTGATGTCTTACTTAATACAATGCCAATGGAATCAGCTTCACGTGGCAGCTCTTCACAGGTTTGAGGGAGGCAAACAACACGCAGGGAAACTGTCCCAGCATTACTGCTGATGTTCCAACTGCAAGAATCCCATCTCCTTCCCCTGGACAGGGGGCACCTACAGCAAGTCATGGCTTTCCAGCCACCTCCTGCTCTCCCCTTTCACGTTCCTATACAGTGTATGTTCCCCCACTGAGTGGAAAGCAAATGTTGTCTGAGCTGCCTTGGCACAGAGACAACCACCAGAGATGATGAATTTCGGTGTGACCCCCAGAACAGTCCTGCAGTAATCTCCTGTGTGGGGAGCGAGTGTCTGAGCTGCCACGAGTTACCTCCTGCTCTGAACAGACAGAGGAAAAAAAACCATGCTTTTCCCTTGTTGTTTTTCCCTTTTTTCTAAATCCTGCTCAATCTTCCTCCCCAGCACAACCTTTTGCAAGTTAGACACGACAACAGTTTCGTTGACCTAATGACAGAACATGAAGGTAGAGGAGTTGCAAAGTGTTCTTTGCTAAAATCAGGTGTAAGTAAGGCACACTCACCTTGCTCTCTGTCAGTTCATAAATCTTCTGGCTGACATAGGTGACATCAGGCTTTGGCTCATTGTACAGAGCTCTTCTGGAAATGTTTTTGTTGGGTTTGGAGAGTCGCAAGGTGCTTCCCTCGAGCCGCACGAACACAGAGTGAGTCAACGTGGCATGGTACGTTTCTGGATCATAATTATAAATTTCATTCATCCATCCCTAGAGAAGAAAACACCCATTAACAGGCTTTTAAGCTGTTGGAAAACCAAGTACAGCACGTGCATAAAAGCTTTAAAATTCTTATCCAGGCTTTTGCTGAAGTTGTTTCGCTTCCTGCAGGAGCAGAACGAGGCAGTAAATGCCCCAAATGAGGCAGCACCAAATTGACAGAGCATGAGATGAGGACAGTGCCACATAATTGGTTTTGTATGTGTGGCACAGGGTGCTCTCACCTCATCCCCAGGAACCACGGGGGGACGTGCAGGATGCTGGGAAGAGCCACCAGGCAGGCACAGGAGGGCTGTGCAGCTCCCAGCAAGCACAGACACCCTAATCACCAACAGCCAAGGCAGAGCAAACAGCCTGTCAGCTTACAGACAGCTCTGACGTTTCCATCACCCACAGTTAAGGGCTCAGTGGAAGACCACAATGGAGTCTGCTTTCATGCACCATCACCGTTGGAGATCGTTTAACGTGTTGTGTAAGGGCCCCGCTACAACACAGGAGTCACACACGTGGATTAAATTCAATTCATTTCTGTGCAGTGAAAGCAACAGCAAACAAACCAGCCAGCCCTGCTGGAACAGGCCTGCAAGTGCTGACTCTGCCCATGATGTCACTCCTTGTCTCTGACATCTGACTGCAGAAATGCAGGATGAGAAATGGGGCGGAAGACGAGCCACGATACTCATTCAAGGGAGAGAAGTTTCCCTCCTCTCAACCTGCCCCACCACATACTTTGATAATTGCTTCTACCTGCACATCAGAGCCTTAAACTCAGCACACTCAACGTTCATCAATGTCAACAGCGAGTGAAGTGGCATCTTCACCAACACCTGGCTGAGCACAGTGGGGGAAGTGGGGAGAGCTGAATGAGCACCCCAGTGTTCCTCCAAACAATCAGCTGTAACTACCAAAACAACCCAGAAGTTACTGCCACATTCCAACTTATTAAAGTTTCCACCCACCCACACAGAAATGTGAAATTTATCTGAATGCTCATTTTCTTCAGTGCCACAGTTCCTTACAGCAGACAGCACACACTTTCTTAGGTGCCATAGTAACAGTGATATCCACGTTGTGCTTACTCCACCATCGAGCTCCACTTTCACTACAAACCCTAAAAACCTAGAGAAATTAGCATTTCTTTTATGTTCAGGGAAGATTAAGTCATTCATCTTTGCTCAGCTCCAAAGCAGATTACCTCTTTTATTAACAGAAATCAGGGCACACTCTTTGAGGCAGCTTTGTGTCCGGGTTCTTTGCTTGCACGGGGTTCTACACAACCACCACACAGGCAGCAGAATGCACAAGGCAGAGGTTTCCATCAGCCATCAAGCTCTGCTCAGCAGGGATGATGCATTTCTGAGCACATCCCATCTCCTTCCTAGAAATTCTTAAGCCAAGGCATCTTTGAGCAGACAGCAATTAACTTTCAGCCAGGAACTCCAGCTGGACTCAGTGAAGCACAAGGACATCACGTGAACTGCCCAAAGCCATGGTGAGCCGTTCCCTCTGCGTGGAGCTGGCCCATCCATATGGCCCAGAGATCTCTGGAGCAACTCCCACCTGCCCCCGGATCAGCACTGCGAGCTATTCCGAGCTCAGACACCGCGGTCTGGAGCCTGCAGATGGCCAAGTGCACACATGGACATTTGCTGCCTCCTTCTGCAAGGCAGCTCAGCCAAACACCCCAGCAGCTGGCACAGGGAGAAAGGGCTCCTTGGAAAGTGGATCTCTGCAGGAAGCTTAGCCACGAGCCCTTTTTCTAACTCTGCTGAGCTGTGAGGTTATACAGGAGGAGGGCTGGGAACTTTGGGGTACGCGTGGTACCCAAAACCTGACGATCCATTAACGCCCTGCTTGGCACGGAACCGGCTGGAGTTTTCCAGCACATCCTTCTCTCAACTGCCACGTGCCACAGGAAGGAGTAAAAAAATCCCTCCTGCTTTTCTGAGCCCTACCATGTGCCCAGGCTTTCCACTTCCAACAAGAGGATTAGCTGCACAACCTGCCAAACACTCCCAGTGCTCACACCCTGTGGTGCCACCTCCCCTGCTCACTGTTCACAACCACCCAAGGGAAGTGTAAATGCTTCTCACAGCACAACCACCACCTTATCAGCAACTGGAGAACCTCATCAAGACTTTCAACCCTGATTTCTGGCTGTCAGAGGTACTGGACAAAGCCTAGAACCAACAGAAGATAAATACATTTACTGCCTAAACCAGCAACCCACACAGTGATTTCTGTACCAGGAGGAGAGTGGCTGCTTCCTGGATCTGAGACATAGCCCAAAACCCAAGAGATACAGAAGTTTTGATTCAAATAGTTAAGGTTTTATTTTCAGACAACAGTCAGGATGAGAGAGAAACAAACTACATTACTACAAACCCTCCTCGTAGGTAAAATTTTAGTTTCCTAATTTCTAAGGAAGTTTTTTCAAGTTAATTTTGTTCCAGAGAAACACTGCACTGCTGAGAGTGAAACATTAATACTTCTCCAAGTGAAGATTCTTCACTCTCTTACTGAATCTGAAAATGTGTGGCAGCTGCAGGAATTTTATCTCAGGGTGTTACAGGGGGTAACGACACCACCTGCCCTCTCACGTCAGTGATCTCCAGTTTTGTAAATTGTTTCATTTAGCTTAAAAGAAAACATTGAGAAGGTTATCCAAGAAACCCCCAAAGTCATCCCAAAGTTCCTGCACTTCAAGAACAACTGCAGCAGAAACACCTCCACCCCTCTTTTTGCAAAACCAAATTGCAACAAAAGATTCACAGCCCACAGAAATCATTTTGCAATGCACCCAAACAGAGAAGTTATGTTACCATAACGTGCTAACAACAGATAAATTTCCCCCAAACTACTGAAACAACAATGGATTTCCTTGTGCAGGAGAGGAGTGACTGTATGATGGGTCTTTTTTGTGCTGGCGAAGTTGTTAAAGTAAGAAATTCAGTAATTCAGGGAGGACAATGCCCATAGTCATGTGCTGCTGTGCAGCTGCTGGGCATTCACACTGATCCTGTGATCTCTCTTTATAAAGGTCAGCACTTGCTGATGGGGGGAACTGCAAAAAGATCCTTAAGAAAGGACCCAGAGGGTTTGGGGCACAGACCAAGTCTGCAAGGAGAAATAAATTCAAATCATTACTTATGATATTTTCAAATACGTAAATAAAAGAATCAGCAAAAGGCACTTCCACAACGCAATTCCAAATCTGAATCAAAACTGTCCCCAAACTGATTTTAACAGATTAATATCCATTCTTATCAAATGATACAATCATCACTCAAATCACACTAATTCTATTTGCATCCCTCACATTGCCACTATTTAAAAATACTGCAACAGTGTTCTGCTTGATAAATGAGCAAAAATGTAAGGCACTTTCTGAGCATTATTGACAAGATCTGAGGTGGCAGAAGCAACCATCACCTTTCCTGGAACACACATTCATCTGTCAGAGGCCACTGGCAAACGTGAAATCCCTTGGATGGTAACTCAGGAATAGCTGCTGATAAAAAACCTCCTCTTTCTGCAGAGCTGGGGCTCAGAAAGCTTCATTTCTCCAGCAGGCACAGCCACTGTGCTCTCCTAAAAGTTCCTTCTAATGGAAAGGGTAAATCTATCACTCCCCTTTTAGCTGTTACTTAAAACCTTTGGGATCAGCCAGCACAACACAAGGGAATGCACACTTGGAAACAAGGGAAGACTAATGGAGGAAAGAAGAAAAAAATATGTGGGCAGAGAAATAAAAAAAGAAAAAAAAAAGAAAAGGAAGCCAGAGAACTGAAGACTAAGCAGGTAAGAAAACATGCAGTGTAGATGCAGGGGGGTTGTGCATTTTCTGCTTGGGGGGATGTTCTCCCCCAGACCCAAAGACATGAACAATTTAGTGGGAGACAATAACAACGTTCAAGCATTTCAGCGATTGCTGAGGGGAATTTTCCACTAGTTTTTGAAACTTGGGAAATGCAAACTTCTCAAACATTATTTCCATGGGGGAAGAGAGAATGCACACACACACACTTGGAAAAAATAACTTGACAGCAGTTTGGCAGAATCCCCAAGTCCTTGAGCCCCATGAAGGGATCTTACTCAGGGCATTTATCATGACTGCATGACAGGAGGCCAGGCCAGAATACAAGACCAACAAGTTCTGAAGAAAAACATCTTTATGCAAGAGCATCAAGTTTCATTTTCCTGTATTTGCCTGAGTTTTGCCACAGATTAAGTCTTTACCTCCTTTTTTCAGAGGATCGAAACTGTCCAGTACTCATTTTGACAGATGCAAATAGAAAATACTTGTATGAAGTGGGAATAATAACTTGCAATCTGCTAAATCACATTACATTATGTTCCACTACAATATGGGCACTGAGCTGGGTTTTCAAATCCTGAAACATTTACATACTGCAGACAGTTACTTTGTGTGTTAATGAGCACAAAAATACTTGTCAGGTCATAAAAACCATTAATCTACATTCATACAGACTTCTCCACACTGTTCATTCCCCTGCCTACAGCCATTCTCACAAAATGTATCTCCTGGATAAAAGCATTAAAATATACAGTTTAAAGGTTCCTGACTAGCATGAACATCTCAGAGACAGCTGAGCACCAGCCAGTGATGAACATCAGGACCTTTACCAGCTTCCAAAGATTGAGAAAAATTTATATGCAGGGTCTCAGCACCCAACTAAGAAGGAAAGAACTGAAAACTTGTCCAGACTTGTCCATTTGAGCAGCCAGGAGTGCCCAGTCTGCATTCACAACAGCAAATGAAGACCACAGTTTGTATCATCCAAGGGAAAAAGGGAACACCAAGGGAGAGTGAGGGCTGGACATGCAATTGCTGCCTCTACTCAGCAAAAGTTGCATTTTGCATTTCATTTCTCTAACTTTTCAGTTTACCTAAAGATACATGAGATTAGCTGTAAATGCACCATAGATTCTCCAGCATATACCCAACACTGGGTGAATTTAAATTCATGCAACCTTTGTGCTGTTACACAGCTGGAGATGCATCTTCAGAAAGCTCAGTTTAATATTTACACAAATACCCTGCTAAGCAAGCGATGTCAGGTGAAGGTTGTGCCACTGTCACTCTGAAACGCCTCTGGAGCACATGAGAAACCAGCAGGTGCTTTACTGCTCAGAATTCTGCACTTGGGAAAAGATGAATTCATCCCAGATGGAGATGAGGAGAGGCAGGGCAGGGACAGCAAGCACAAACCACTGAAGGAAGCGAGTGGTGGATCCCAACTGAACTTGCATTGTCCAAACAAGAAATGGAGATGGGGAAGGGCAAGGAGGAGGGAGGATAACTCTGCTAAGAGCTTCATGTAAAACCCAGCTCTCAGGCACAAGTTTTGCTGAACTGTAATTCCTCCTCCCACCCTAATTAGCTCATGTCTGAGGAGAATCCCACGTGCTCTCCAGCTCTCAATGCTGCACTTGAACACAAAGCTTCTGACTCTGCTTAGGCTGAACAGACAAGACAAATTACTGCCTAGACAGGAAAACATCCCAGAAACAAAATACACCCCCCAAAATGCAGCTTCAAGAACAAATGTTCTTTCACACACCAAACTCTGACACTACTTGCTCTCAGTAATTCAGATGGATCATTTCAAATCCATCAGCAAAACCATTTGCCCTTTTACTTCTGAAGAAATTCCATTTTCCACTAATCCTTAAAGACACTGAAATCTCTTATATTCTCGGATACTAAACCATTTGTGCCCCTGCCAAAGCCACCTGACCCTGAAAAGGAACTCTATTTACCAACGGGGATAATTCAGCTCATTTACACCTTCAGAACAAATCCAGTTTATTCCTTCTACCCAAAACAAAGCCCACAAACACACAGAGAATGCCATGACCTCACCTTGAGTATTTCAGGTTCTTTGATGTCCAGAGCTCCTGTATTGCACCGCTTCTTCACACTTGTACGAAATTTGAGATATTCGGGAGTACGTGGAGTAACAAGCCAGATCACACAGACAGCTACCATAAATCCAAGGGCCATTCCAAGTAAGAGTCCACTTAAGTAGCCAGGGAGAGGGATAATTAAATAAGCATAGACTAACAGTGTTAAGACATACAAAGTTTTCAACGGTGGTTTAGGCTGTTGCACATCCAGATTATTTTCGTCTTCACTACTGAGCACGGTAACGGTTTCCTCAGTCATCTCGGGATCCACCACAGTTTCAGCAGGTTTATCAGTTTTGCTTTCCTCCTCCAGCAAGAGAAAGTCCTCAGAGTACAGTTCACAAAACTCCTCATCCTCCCTGCTCACCAGTGCAGACAACGAACATTTTTCAAGTACGAGTGAAGGTTTCAAACTCACGTCCTTTGTGCTTGAAGACTGAGAGCTCGGGGTCTCTGCCTCTCTTGCGTGTTCCTCAGCAGCCTTGGACTGATCACCCTTGCTCCCAGAGTCACCTCCAGAGACGTCCCCCTCCGAGTCACACTCTTCCTCCTTGATGCTGTAGTTGTTATTGCTTTCCAAATGGCCATTCAAACTGGAAAGGTTTGAGAGTTCTGAAGCACTTGAAGATAAGGCTTTGGGCCTGTGGCTACTACTTTCATCACCCATTATTTTACTGAGCAGCTGAAGAGGCTCGTACATCACCTCAGAAAGGCGTCTTTTAGTATCTTCAATTTTAGCCTCCATTTCAGGTACTTTAAAAAAGGAACGGGTGTCAGAGGGGGATGTCAGTGGAGAGGAGGGGGCAGTTTTAGAATCACCACCTGTAGCTCGAGGTTGAGTGAACTGTTTGAACAGATGCAAGTTCAGTTTCGAGTCAGGTGGCCTGTAAGACACAGCTTCAGACTCTTGTTTGGAAGTGTCTGTAGACAGAGATTTCACCAAGGTTTTCATCAACTGCCTGTGTCGCAGCGGTGGGGTGGGTTCTTTGGGTTCCACATCTGTCGAAAGGGACTTGACTAACCCCTTAAAAGGCTTGGAACTGGAAACTGTGGATGACCCGGCAGATCTGGAAGGGGACGAGGATGGGGAAGACGACAGGCTGGATTTCTGCTCCACAGATCCCACCTGATACGCCACAGATGCACCTGATACGTCAACCGTGTGACATGAGTGTGACGATGGAGACAGGACCAGTGGCACTGCACTGAACACTCGGGATGCAGAAGGGGAATCCAAGAGCGTCACAGTCTCTGCAGTTGGCACAACTGCAGGTGATGAGGACAGCAGTGATGCAGAGTTGGCCACGTTAAGCGAGGTAGCTGGACCAGAAGAGTCATGGCCGGGATGCTCAAAGCAGAGGTCTTCCTTGGCTTCAAGTGCTGTTACAATGCTTTGGTCATCTAGTTCCTCATCAAGAAACTCCTTAAACTCCTCTTCCTCCTCTTCTTCCTCCTTCCCAAATGCAGAGAAATGAATAGTGATGGTTTCTTGGGAGACAGATCGTTGGACCTGCACTTTTGGTGTTGACTGCTTTGAGGACATTTCACCAGTTTTCTCTGCATGGCTACTGTTCCGACTTGTCATTGCAGGTTCCAGAGATGTGTCAGAGTCTGGGGAGAAAATGTAGTACTGTGTTAAATGCATTTTTTTTCCACCCTTCAAATACCTTATTTTCAAGTGTTGAGCCAAACACAAGAGACAGGTTATAACAACAGGTCAGTCAGCTGAAAATTAAAATGCTCTGGACACTCTCCATCTCACTGGATTTACAGCTGTCTGGTCAAATTACGGGCTGATACTAAAGAAATGTACTGTGGATTTACTTCATTGCATAAAACATATCTATATTTTAGTTAACACTTCCTCTGCATCTGCTTAAATATCTCATTTTTATTACCAATGAATGCAAGGACAGATTCAAAGGAAGACAGGGAGAAAAACAGGCTTAGGACAATTGCCAATCATGGATAGGCATGGAGAGCATTGTAGACCCTCTTAAGGTGATCCTGAAGGAAGAATGACACAATTCTAGGTAGGAAAAACATCAAAAAAACCCCAAGCAGAACATACTTTTGCTCAGACTTACAGATCTAGGTTACTGTTTGCTACATATTTCCACATAGCACAAAATGGCAATATTAACAAGCTGCCAAAATTATCTTCAAGTGTTCTGAAATCACAGCTCATCTCTGAAGCACCACTTCCATAATTTCCCCACTAAATGCACCTCTGAGTTCCAGAAGCCCCATCCCACCCCAACACACCGAGATTCTTCACTCCTGGCTCTCAGTTCCTTCTGCAGGCAATAATTAACACAAGCAGATCTGAAACCCAGAGGAAGGTCTGGAACACGTAAAAAACTTCCTCACACAAAGCACGTCATTTCAAGAACTTTACTGATCAAGAAAGTGGACTTTGCATATATTTACAAGGAGAGGAAATGCCACACATTTAAAGCACCGATGACCATTCACAGAGAAGGATGAGGAGTTCCAGGATTGGCTCTGCCTCTCCGGCTGTGAGGCTGCACTTCATCTCCACCGCCAAGACAGCGAGTTTACTACTTCAGCAACTGAATTATTTTTCAGAAGCTGTTAAAATGCTGTAATCAAACTGTCAGGCTGAATTAATGAGAGGCCTTTGCTGACGTTCAAAGAGCAGCTCAGGAGAAGGATTATGTGGCGGTGAAGAAATGTGCACTTCACAAACAGTTGTGATATCAGATTGTATTATCCAGCAAGGCTGGGCCACCTGCTCGGCATCATCACCCCACTCAAGGTTGCAGCCCTTTATACTTCCCAACAGAGCTGCTCATGTAAATGATTTTTAGCCTGTCAGTAAAATAAGCTGGGCTGAACATTTTAAAACAGCAGATCTCTGCTACTCAGCTTATCCAGCAATGCTGGAACAGGAGGGAATATCTGCCCACAACTTCCTACTCGCTAGAGTTGCCCATTTTACAGCTCCTAAACGGTTGACTACTTTATTCCTTGCTCCTTTGAGCATTTGTGCACTTCCCAATCAGGTTGTATATTATCAGTCACATGCAAACACAACTTGGTGAGTGCTGAAGTTGGTGAGAAATTTGGTCTTTCATTTCCCTGTCGGATTAGCAACCTGGGAAGCACCAGCATCCAGGACCCACAGTGCCTTTGGACACAGTTCCATTTCACGGAGTTCAACCTGCAAATTACCCCATTTTTTTTAGATAAATGCACCCAAATTTGTTTTGGAGAGGAAAAAAACTGCTACTGGACATGATATGTATCCAATATCCTTTCCCCTTCCCTTGTGCTGGGCCACCAGCCATCTCACACCTTTAATGCTTTGTGCCAGTTGTGAAATTGCAACAAATAAATAAATCTGCAAATATTGCAACACTATACACTCAGGAAGAAAAAAAATCACCACTCCCCTCCCCCCCCAAAAAAAACCCCTTGCATAGGATGCTGTTGGCATCAGCATGACCCCTTCTCTCCTGCCATTTGGCACTAACCATGTATCAACAATTTAGCAAAAACAGTGAAAAATTTCCCTCCCAACAGCACTTTCAGCGTGGTATTTTGTATCAGCTGGAACCTGATGGGTTTGGATGGCTCTGTGTTTGCAGGGTGCAGTTAATCACCTCGTGGTTAAACACCACTTGCCTCGCTGTGCTAATGCAGCGCTAATGACCTGAAACAGATGAACTTTACTTGCACACACCAAATGTGCTGAAAAGAGATTGTGCTCCTTACTGAACAAGCAAGACTTTCTTAACATCATGATTAACTGGTTAACACGGAGAGGAAGGAAATTCTTGATTAGCCACTATTTGCCTACCCTAAGCATGTTACTACACCGTGAATTATGTCTTATAAAACCACGTTTCCAACCCTTCCTGAACACAGCTTCTGTTCTGCTGGGAAGGATTTAGGGGTTTGTTTGTTGGTTGGTTTTTTTTCATTATTTGTTTTGTTGTTGTTTTTTTTCCAAGGAGATGCTGAAAAGCTTTTCCAGCACAGCTCTTTCACTTTGGATTCGATAACAAAGATATTTCATCAGGTTCTCGAACCGCACATTTTTATGCCTTAAATCATTCTAACAGATTCACTTCTTACTGATTTCTGGCTCCATTTTCCTCCCTCATTGCTTCCCCTTTCTCCTACTCCTCACCTGTTTGAACACCTGACATTCCCTGCCCATCTGAAGTGGCACAACCCCAAACCACATTGCACAAGCACAGGTTTGCTTTGGGCCTTCCTCTGAAGGCCACACTGTCCCCACCTCCTCTGGCTGCCTCTTCAGGGCTTTTCTGTTGTTGATTCTGAAGATGCAAGGTACCAGTTTTATTTATGTGGCAGGCAGATCTGAATAATAATAATAATAATCTCAGATCCTCGGGCTGCAAATGATTCAAAACATGAAGTTCTGCCTGGAAGGGAAGAAGGCTGCTCAGAAAATAACTCCTTTCCCCCGCAGTGGATGCTTTTGCAGGGTGGAACGAGAGATGCTGCCAACCAACTGCTGCCATTTCCACTTGTGACCCCGAGGCACTGCATCCCCATCACCCACAGCACAGCAGTTCAGAATCCTCACCTACAGGCAGTGCTTTCAAAGCTGCAGCAGCAAACAGTGAACCAGCAAACTGGGAGCAGAAAACATTCCTTGCCCAGCCCTTTCCCGAGGATGTGTTTTCACCCAGGTGACAACACGTCTGCAACGCTCCAGGAGGCACCTGGAGACGAAGAGGGACACCCAGGGAGAGGCTGGTGGGGGTCAGGCCATGGCACCTTCTCTGAGTGTCACTCCAGTGTCATGAGCTCTCATCTGCAGCAGGCAGAGCTGAGCACCCACAGCCTGTCCTTGTGCCCAGCCTGTCCTGAACTGGCAAACCCTGCAGTGGGAAGCACAGCAATTATTTTCACATTAACAATTTCATAAGTGATTCAGCCAACACGCCAAGCAGCAAACCAGGAGCTAACTTCAAAGGTCAGAGTTGCACCCACCACGCTCGGTTTACCCACAGTTCAACCTGGCCACGTTTCCTAATTAAGGTGTATTCAGGAGAGCAACTCAACACCTTTCATAATCATTCAGCTGGAGAAACAGCCCCGATTGGGTAACTAAATTCACATGCACTGCAGCAGCCAGCTATTCCAATCACACTGCTATTACTTATTGCAACATCTGCGTGAGGGGGAAAGGGTACAGGGCACACTGTATTACCAAAATGCTTTCACAAAAGTGGCCAGCAGGGTTCAACACTCGTATTTTCCCTGCTGGTTGCTACTAAACACAGACCCAAAAAAATGTGTTTTTCACAAAACAGAAATTCCTTTCCTCCTAAGTAAAGGAAAATCCTTGCAGGATATTAAACAGCTCTGTCATACTTTCCCCTGTATCTGCCAGTTGTGCCAGAAGAACAAGCCCTAAATGCTGTTCAGGAAACCACTCATTTGATTATTGATAATGCCACAACGGGACTTCATCCTAAATCTTTCCAGGACTGGGAACACCTGCACAGGCCAACACATTCTGAAAGCCATATTTGCTCCCAGAAATTTTAGATTCCACTTGATTTACCAGAGACTCAACCAGTTATCTTCCTCCCAACACCCAGATATGTGGGAAAACTGTTGCAACTCTTTCCACCTCTTTAAAATAAGTAACAGAGCTCTCAGCAGCAGACACAAATCCTTCTCTGAAGAGCTGCAAGTCTTCATTTCAGGTCCTTCAAAACCAAGCCCAGCACGAGTGAAAGGCACTCCTTCAAACCTCGCTTTCCAGCGGGAAGAAGGAAGTTTTTGCTTCGCCTTTCAGGTTCGTGCAACCGGATTTGAGATCCAGAGGGAGGGGGAAAGAGGAACAAAACCCCGATAAAGCCTGGTTTAAGTCCAAGGGCAAATGAAAAAGTTGGTATCAGTAGTAAATAGTATTAAAAGAAAGGATTATATTGTGCACACACAGCACACACCTCTAAGAGAGGTAACCCAGGTTGTCACAACTAAGATGGTTAAGATCTAAAACACCTCCTGTAGGAATTCTCTGAACTTCACTAAAAAAAAAAAGATACAACTTTGTGTAAATGCTTTTACCAATTTCAGTTCAATAGAACCAATTCAGTTAAATAGAACCAATTCAGTTAAATAATCAGCATTTAAGTGATACTTAAAAAAAAAGATCCTAAGCAAGATTTTAGAGTCTTCTCAATGAGATGACACTTGTAATGAGAATTATAAACCTATCAGAGGGACAAAAAAGTGTCCCTGTGTTGTAAGGCCAGGACAGAAAGGTCAAGGAAAATTGCAATGGCAAATAAGGAGCCTTCAAAAATAAGGTCCCAACTACAAGCTTGTATTTACAGTGCTTCAAAAATAAACAAATAAAAACCGTTTAATGTCAGCTGAGCGAGTTTATTCTACATTAACATCTTCCCCAAAGACCTGAGAAAGGTCAGCTCCCACATTAGTTTCTCTGCCTTTACTGATAAAAAGAATAATTGTTATTCTTTCCTGTTCTCCTTCCATGACACATCACTCACACCAAAACCTTTAAAAGCTGCACTGGGGTCTAATTTTGACAAACACAGAAAGCTGAGCTGTTAAAGGTTGAGCAGAAACTCAGAAAA